TTTTTCACATTCTGTCTCTCACAGTTGAAGTGTACCTCTGGTGCAAATTACTGACCTCTGTCATCATTTTAAGTGGGGGAACTTGCACAATTGGTGGCTGACTAAATACTTTTTTGCCCCACTGTAAGTCTGTCTCATTCCAGATGTAGCTTTTTTACAAACAGTATTTTTATTTTTTAGTTATCTATAAACTGTATTCTTCATTTTCTGCTATTTATTCTGTTAGTTATTTAGATGTTCCCACTGTCATGGCATCATTAACTTTAATAGCTGCACAGTGACTCAGAGGAAAGCACTCCAAGGGATCTTTAACACCGCCCAAAAGATCACTGGCTGCCCTCTCCCCACACTGGAAGATCTACACAACACCAGCTGTCTTAAAAAAGCCCAAAACATCATAAAACATACCCCACATTCTGGCCACTCCCTGTTTGAACTGTTGCCCTCAGGCAGACGGTACAGAGCAATCAGTGTAAGGACTTATAGACTGAAACACAGCTTTTATCCAACTGCAATAACACATCTGAATGCTACAAAAAAAATGTCCATCACGCCACTCTTGTATTAATCTATGCACTGACTGAAGCATGTATGTGGGAATGTATGTAAATGTTTGCTGATGCTTCTTATAAGCACTTTAAGTATTCTATTTATTTTATTTATTGAATTTTATTGTTTTATTTATATTTTGATATTGTTAGGGATGATGCACTGATCGGGGACCATTTTTAATTTTGTTGTACCTGTGACTTTGACAATAAAGATTCTGATCTGATCTGAATAATGACACATTAATATAATATATTATCTATAGATATCTAACAAGGACATAACTGAATGAAAACAAAACACAGGGCACAAGGCCCAGGACCATGACACATGAAGGCAATCCATTTCTTCCACTTTTGTGAAAAGGCATCTTCTTTAGACCTTTGCAAGAAGGTCATCCTCTTATAAAGATTTCCCTTTATATTCCAGTTCTTTGTTTTAGTTTTTATTTTATTTTTTGTAACCAAACAATGAGCAATATTTAGCATGAGTACAGTATTGATCTTTTTTTAATCACAACAGCCTCTTGAATTACTCCAAAATACAGCACCACGGTCTCTACAGAGATTTCACAGTCTATAGCTTCTTTCTTTGAGTAAGACTTGTATTGTTCCAAAATATTATGATTTTATTACATTTCCAGAAGTTTTGTGAGTGGGTGGCATTTATGTGACCAGACTGTCTCTTGACTTTGTAACTTATACATTCCTTTTAAGGTGTAACAAAAACACAAATTCGATTTTTTTGAAGTAAATTCTCTTCAATTATTTCACATTGTGTGTCACCCACATAGCAGATCAATCCTCCTTTGATATTTGTATGTCTAGTTCTTTTTCCCATTTTGTTTTAATATCAGTATTATTCCCTTTGTGCTTCTGGAGGCCTTGGTATACTTTTCTCCATTATTCTTTTTTACTGTTTCAATTGAAATATATAAGATAAGATAAGATAAGACTTTATTGATCCCACAACGGGGAAATTTTTGCGTCACCTCAGCTCAGGTACAGATAAATGAAGGAATATACATCATGTTGTAGAAGAAAATAAATATTGTGATGATGTAATAGGGTGAAAGGAGGAGACACAGCTCCTCCTCCTGTTAGTTGTATTAAATGGCTCCTCCAGCACCTTTTCTTCAGTTCTTAGTTCACATCGACATCATGCTGGCAACTCTCTGTGCTCTCATCACTGCTCTAACATGTAAAGACTTTGACTTATATACCACACATATATACTAATGTCAGTGTGTTTCTCTTGACTCTGTGTCTTCATGTTGTTTGCAGGTGTGAGTGGTGTGACGGTGGTGACACAGAAACCTGTTTTATCAGTGAGGAAAGGAGAGACAGCCACCATGGACTGTAACCTGGGGACTGTTACTGACAGTGCTGCTCGTTGGTACAAACAGATTCCAGGAGGAGTTCCTCAGTATGTGCTGAGGTTTCGTCATGACTGGAGTTCTCCAACCTATGGCTCTGGGTTCTCCTCTCCAAAATTCACATCCACTCATCAGTCAACAACAGATTATCGTTTGATCATCAGCAATGTGGAGGAGGGAGACTCTGCAGTCTATTACTGTCAGACATATGACACCTCTGTTAATGAGCACATAGTATCACAGTGATTTACACTGTGACAAAAACCTCCTCACAGATACTTCTGCTTTTTGATGGTCTTTTTTATAAAAGACACACCCAACAAACTCAGTGTAATCCCACCACCTTCAAATAGCGTTTTTTTTAAAAAAAAAGCATTTTAAGCATTTTAAAATCTGCTTCTTTACTTCTCTTGCTGTTTGCTCATTACAAAAGAATCCGCTCATAAGAACATCATTTTTAAAATGTATTTTTCCCATAATTGAAACATAAGTATATTCTCAAATACATGCTATGAACACTAGATTTCATTATTAAGTAGGAGAGGCCAAGTCTCACTGGTTTAAAATGTTGGTTGTAAGCGTCAATAATATCTTCACATTTAGTGAAGCATCACCTTTAAACTCCTCCCTCTCTTCCTGCCCAGCATGCAACTACAGGTCTTAGTTTTTCATTCATAACCTCATGTTTTCAGCTTTCTGTCAACTAAACTGATCCTACGATGTGAATTGCTGCTTACTGAAAATGTTTCAGTTGCAGTCATTTGGT